CCCCAAAACCCCAAAACCCCAAAACCCCAAAACCCCACCAGAGATATCAATAAAATAAAATAAATATCAAAATGGGCAACCAGTTTTCAGCACAAATATGTTGCAATGGCTGCAAAGAACCATGGGGGTAATGATATCACCACTAAAGCTGTGGATATTGAACTAAGTTAGCGAACGTCAATAAACCTCTCATAACTATATATTAAGATTCATTTTATAGAGACATGAGTGAAGATAACTATAATTAATATGCAAGGGAACATCAAAACAGATATTGTCCTTGCTGACAGTGATATCAAAAAGCAATTCACAAACTTGGAAAACCATGATGGTTCTCCGATGTTCTTTACTCCTCCAGGCATTGCTAATAATCCAGACTCAAAGATTGCCAAGAAAAGAAGCTCCAAGAAGTTTATCAATGATAAAATTTATGGAGATATAGATGAGCCGATGATCATTGAAAAATATTCCAAATAAACCTTCTGATGACATTCAGAGAGCAATAGATCGAGAGAATAATACATCCTGGGTAAAAGAAATATCAAAAAGCCTTTCTCTAATACAATCAAGAGAGAATTCTGTGGGAGATGTATGCCCATCAACAAATCAAGAAGGCGAAACCCTTGAAATAAGGGATCCTTCAAAAGATAATCCAAGAGATGATCTAAAGACTGTTGTAAGCTCTTATCTAATTTCTCATCAACTCAAGTCATCATAACTCATTTCCTAAATAGCTAAGGAGCAATAATAACTCGAGATCAAACCCCAGCTTTGCTGACAACCAGGCTAAAGCATCTAATAACAGAGAAGAAGTCATTCATAATGACCTTGACCATGAAAAACTCAACAAAATATAAGTAAAAACCAAGTTCTTTCTGAAGAAAGCAAGCAAAGTGTTGAAGTAAGAGCTGCCAAAGTCCCTATTCTTCCTTAAAATCATTGAAATAATGATCAAATTTTTGAAATTTACGCCCTTAGACATGGATCTGATGCTCGAAAAATGTACTTACTGACATCATAGGATAATGAAAATGATCAGGGACCCAAACAGCCAATTTTAGATCATCAGATAACTTTCAACCCGAATAAGATTATAAATGTCCAAGATCATGAAGATATTAACAATGAGCCTGATCTCTCAGAAATCGGCCCTCCAGCTGAAGGCAAGCAAGTAGACTGGGAAGAGTTTGATAAACTAGATTACACGACTAGAAAAGAGTACTGCAAAGGTATCGAAGGGAGCGAGGATGCTGATTTCGAGCTCCAAGATAACCATGAATTCCTCCAAGAGTCCAAAGAAAGAGACACTTTCTTCACCTTACCCTCTAGGACCTCTAATCAAATAGAAAGATATGCTTTTAAACGGATTGAAAGGAAGCTGAAAACTGTTGATCTGACCAAAACAGAGTATGTTTCTCCGAAAAATTCATCCCTAACCAATCAGCACCTTAACATCTGCAACTTCAAATGTGTGGATGTAGAAGATGAAGATAAAATTTTGCAAGAGTATCATGGCCTCAAAGAAGATCTAGAGCTACAAACTATTAATGAAGTATCAGTAGAGTTCTCGAGGCCGAGTGAGATTAATTCAAGGAGAAGCTCGATGTCTCCCAAAACCCTACCTCTTAAGACTGAAGATAGTAGCCATATCATCAGGGATACCCTCATTTTCCTTCCTCAAAATTCAGATGAACGAATAAGCCTCCACTGAGAGTTCTCAGGGGAGTGCATTGAATGATATGAAGAGTCCAAAGTAACCTCAGAATAACTTTATAGGAGGGACTTAACTTCTTCATGAAAATTGACACTGATTGAATTCATAAAATCCTCCCTTGATATGGTGGAGGCCTCCAAACTCCAAGATATAGATTTGAGATTGTCATGAAAGATGAAGATGCATTAACAGAAGGTATACATCACAACATTCAAAATCATAACCAACATCCCCTAAAAGAAGAAACCACCTCCAAGGTAAAGCAACCCCCTTCATAAACACACATAAACCTTACATCTAGACCACCCTACACTTCACCTTCTGCTGTAACGACCAACAAACCTACGAAAAATGGCTGACCTCCACCACAAACTCCCTCTAACCACACCAAAAACCCTCCACATAACTTTCCACCTCCACCTCCACAAACGGGGTTTTGGGGTTTTGGGGTTTTGGGGTTTTGGGGTTTTGGGG